TGTTGAACCTCATGAGGTTCACACAGGCCCACTTCTCGAGCTTGTCCAGGCCCTGTTCTTTATCCTGTCTCCCCATTACCTGCAGTTCTCCCTGGCTGGCTTTTCTTGCCATAGTTTCCTTAAGTGTAACTTGGCTCATCACTGTCTTGGGATGCTGCTGGAATTTATCCATAGCTTTCTCATACTTTGATGAATACCTGTGCATCTTTCACTTATCTGAAGATTTCCTCAGATTTAGGCAGTGCACCAGTCTGTAGCAGAGTATGTTCTTACTCCATGAGAGATGTTTAGAATAGCCCCAATTCCTCAGTCAATCACCATGTCCAAGCCTGTGAGCATGCTCAGACCACCCTGACTTCCTCCCCTACAACTTGCCTTTTCCCTAATTTCAGGTTTTTCTTCCTTACTGACAGCAAATAAGCAAGAAGGCACAAGCTCACAGTTGCTTATTAGAAATTTCAGCCTTTGGATCTTTTAAATGATTGCATCCAAATGTTCTTTCCAAAGACAGGCTGAGGCTATGGGGAATGGTAGCTCTTCAATGAGTCTAAAAATTATTTTAAAGGCTACTATTGAACTCTGAATGAAATCAGATAGGCCTATGCCACCATTTATTACACTCTCCATAATTCCTTAGCCCAGGGTCTCCAGGCAGCTCCCAAGCAGGACCAACCTCTGAGGTGCCAGAGCATTCTCCTTCTGGGAGCTCCAACAACCCCAGCTGCTTGCGCTGGCCCTGCAGGTGGTTTCCCCCAGCCAGGTCCAGTTGCTTCCCCTAGGAAAGGGCCAAATCCCTCCCTAGATGGGTCCTGCAGTACAGACGGGTGCTCTTGGTGCCCCGCTGAATGTGACACAAAGAATATTTGAGAGAAGCAGTTCTACCATCTGCCTTTTAGGTTTCAGGAGTGATGCAGCAGAGATGGGACCTTTCCTAGGAAGGCAATATGTAATGGCAGGCAAAGCATTCCAGATTTAATCATGCATCTGTGATGTTCATGACAGAATTAGAAGATCGTCTTCCAAAGAAAAGGAGGGGCAGAAGATTTTCTTCCATTTTCTTCAGTACATGAAGTCATTGTTTTGGCCAAGCTATGTTCCAATAACTTGAGGGTGCAATATGTATTATTGGGTGGTATTTGAAAAGAACAGCTTTTGTATACTGTTAATGTTTGATTCCCCCCTCCCACTTCTATTATTTTCTATCTTTACCTCATCAAAACTGGTATTTTACTGAGCTAAGCGACACAAGTGAAATACTGACATGCACTTCCCTAACTCTGAGTTAAGTATGAATCTGTTCCAATATAAGTGCTTATTCAGACAGGAAGAAATATAATTTAATCATGTGTGAGCTGAAGTAAGATATACCACAAAACCCCACCATCATTCAAGTCAGGTTGGTACACTACCCTATGAAATATGCACTGACTGACAACAGTAAAAGCAAAATCTAGCCTTATCTCAGAAGGAAACTGGTGTGAGTAGGAAACACAATCATCTATATTCATACACCCTTTTTCTTTTTTTAAATACCACGTTTGGACAGCACACAAATGAACAAACGGGAAGACCTTTCTTTTATTCATGTAAGAGGTGGTGTAGTGTTTTGGTGGTTAATTTGAAAAAGTTTACAGATTATTATCTAAAATCTATGGTATCTTCTAAAAGGATCAGTAGAGTGCCTATTCCACTGGCCAACTGCAAATTCAGTTGAATTAAAAAAATATGCTTTGAACATGATATGTTCTCCAATCTGGCAGCAGTGCATAGTGGAATAGCAACAAGAGACTTCCTATCTTATATCCTAGAAGATTTTCACACACCTCCACTCATGAATAAGCTTCCTTGGTATTTGGATATCAACCTGTGCAGTTTAGGGCTTTACCAAGAGCACAGTTCAGGGGTTCAAAACCATAATTTAAAATTTTGTTGAGTCATGTTGAATGAGATGCCTAATGTAGTCCCTGGATAGAAACCATATCCATAAAATAAAATCCTAACCAGAACACACCGTCCCCCCTAGCATGTAGGCTGCTTTACACATTGTTGCAGTTATCCTACTTCAAGTTTTACAGGAAAGGGATTGCCTGTACCATTGTGTATTTTTGCATTATTGACATTGTTTAAAAATATTTTTCGTTTACTCTTTAAAAACACTGGCCAGACTCTTTCCTGGTGTGGAGGAGATTCGCAGAAATAGAGTAGCTCCTATTAATTCTACTGCCACATGGTTGCACAAGTCTCCCGCTCACCAGGCTCTGGTCTCAAGCAGGTGTGCAATTGCCACCAGCAGTAGTGTGAGTTATGCACATACAGCAAGGGGAAAGGGGAACCCCTCCGCATGGATGGTGCGCTCTTCTGGAGGGTGAAGATGGTATAAAACTGTTTCTGCTTGCAGAAAGAGAACGTACGCATGTGCACTCTCACAGCGCTGCCAGGCTACCATGAGAACTGAAGTTACATACAAATTGTGTGTGTTATTACCATAAAAGATCATATTCCAGAGTCCAAGATTGGGTTAGAAGTCTCCTTATGCAGCTAGTTATCTGCCCTGTGGTGCACAGTGTCATTCACTACACCCGTCTGGTTCAAAAAGCACAGGGGCAACAACAAAAAAAATGAACAAAAAAGGAATATCTGGTTTCACAGAGCCCTTTCTACAACTACAGCAGACGATTGTTTTGTTATCATTTTATGAGGTGCCTTCTTGATCATCAAATAGGCTAGAAGGTAGAAGAGGGTCTCTGATCAAGTTTGTGATCATTGCCTGTCTGTCTCATTTCTGTGGGGTTTTTTTGCTCCCTTTGCCAGTTTTTACATCGGTATGTTTCTGCAGATGAGCCTAACAATAGTTGGGCAACAATTCCAAGTTAGATGTGATATATAACAACATTTTGGCTTTAGACACTTGAAAAACTAGATGCTTTCCCTATAAAAACAAACCAACCCATAAATA